ACATTTTATTTCAACCAAACATTACATTACCAAATGACCCACTGCATTTCTAGATCTAATCATAATTATAAACTAATCTTACATCTTGAATTGCAATTGAAAGTACCCAAATACATAAATTTACTGCATACAGCATATTTACCGCCTGTAAATTGATAATATTTCCGCGCGTACATTTTTCTTCCTTAGTTACAGCGTTTTAAAGGTTTGTGATTTAAAAAACTGTTTGCTGTAACTAGCCAAACACGTACTTATAGTAACTTTGGATAAAAAGTTTACATTGCAAATGGTGACTGGCAGTTAAATAAATATATGTTTTAAAAATGGTAGCAATATCATGGATAGGTTCGACACTATTAATTTTTTTCCGAAATTAATTAAGTTTTTTGGCTCTGGTGAACAATTGCAATATACTTACAGCAAATATGCTTTCCTACGTCGACATGATTATATTGTTCTTAAATATTAACAGAAATCTATAATTAATCAGTATTTATGTTTTTGTGTTTATTCAATACTAAAATAATCTACTTGATTACACAATATTGATTGAAAAACTCGACTGAAACAAATTGTTCACTTTATTTGGGAGCCTCCTTCGTTGCTCCGAGGCCTCCAGACTTCTAAACTTATTATTGATGTGCTAAAACAGCCGATAGAAATATATTCCGTTGTTAGTATTCGTTCCTTTGAATTCCATATTCAACGCCAGCTGTATTTAGTTAAACACTAAATAGGAGTGAATACTAAAATGTAAAAAGCGGAAATGGACATTGCCTTCTGTGGATGTAAATAGCAAATACCAGAGACAACAAATCCACAGACTACGTGTTTCTAACCGTCTATTTGTTCTGTGGTAATTCAGTAGATATTTTAGAAATCTTGTAATACCTTTTTGACTTGCTTCTTGTTCCCTTCCAAAATAGCGTGGATTAACAAAAAATCGTGAATCTGTTTCTACAAACATAGTTTATTGGCTAAATTAAATAAATAAACTTTATCCTCCACGGTCCGCTTCACTAGAATTTTTTTTTGCTAGCGAACTGTGGAATCGACACCCACTGGGTCGCCGCTCCCCAGGTGATCAGCCTGTGCCTGACACACGCCGCCTTTTTGGGTTTAAGGCTTTCATACAATGTTTTCCTTCACCGTTCGAGCGAATTTTAAATGCGCACATAGAAAGAAAGTCCATTGGTGCACAGCTGGGTATACTCCTCCCTTAAAGGGCGGCACACCACCAAAATGGGCGATGACTGCGTTTTTGGGAGGCCCATAGGCTCGTTTGTGGGTACAAACTCAGGAAAAGCATGTTTCTCAAGAAATTTAAACAAGCGTAGTATTATCAATAATTTGCTCCGCGTGATTGTGAAATTCCTCTAAGCGTCTATAATTTTGAGAGGTGTTTTAACCCCACATAAAGCTCAACTCGATTTATCTGTACAAGTAGCGGCACGAAACTCTAGCGCTGACCGTTATTGCGCAGAAGTAAAAAATAAGGTACCTGAGGGGGGCTAGCGGAATGAAGAGTTTCGATTGGCTCTCCAGTCGCATTCCGTCCCCCGCGCGACAGTACACATGCGCAGAAATCCCCTCCACGTATCGGCCAGCGCTAGACTTACGTGCCGCTGCCTATAAATACTGTTTAAAAAGTTGCAAGGCGTAAAGCGGGCCATAGACGGACCGCATGTTGTCAAGTCAAGACCGACTGCAATATGCGGTCGCCGCACGGCGATCTGCAGTTTCCATACTAAATTCATATTCGCAATACAGGGACCGCTCGAGCAGTTCCTGATCAAACCGCATATTGCAGTCGGTCTTGACTGCAACATGCGGTCCGTCTATGGCCCGCTTAAAACTCACAATTGATCTGACAGACACATTCACAAATTCATACGGTCTTCAAACTTCAAACTTTCTAAATGGGTGAGGTCAGATTATCATTTTCCAATTAGTACTGAAGCATTACTCTGCTGTTTTTATGGGCCAAAGGGCCGCTTTCCGAAGGGTTCGTAGTCAAGTTCCGCATTGTACAAAAAATATGTACTAAGTAATTCCTAATTCAGCTGTTGTGTGATGGTGTGTGAGTGTATGTACGTGAGGGTGTATGAGGTGTGCTCATGATGCAGGTGGTGTGCTATGGATATTTATTACTTTTAAAGAAAAAACTGTTTGACCGGATTGAAGTTATGTATTATTATAAATTTACAACTATTTAACATAATTTTAAATTTATCCGACGTTTCGTTTCTTTTCGTGACCACGCACGCTGTAAAGCACGCAAAACGTCGGATAAATTTAAAATTTAAAATTATGTTAAATAGTTGTAAATTTATAATAATACAAAACTTCAATCCGGTCAAACAGTTTTTTCTTTAAATGTGTAAAGGTTATGTAAATCAAAGACAATACTATATTTATTACTTTTAAGCATATTCCGCGATAGCTTTATACTTTCAAGAAGTTCACCAGCCCTGCCCATTTAAAAAAAAGAATTTCCATAAGGTAATTCACCCTTCTCACTCTCTCTCAACCGGTCTCAATCGCTCTCTCCCTTTTCTTCGACAAAAACTTTGCACATCTTCGTTACGCTAATATTATTATTATTGCAAAAAAAAATATTACACTCAGGCGCCTAAAGAAGTTTCATTTCAAAAATATATTGTTGAAATAACAATAAAAATAGATCAAGATAGAATTATGGACGCAGCATAACCATAATGGGCGTTATCTGATATCGTAAAATAAAATCTGTAAATTAATAGGAATTAATAATCAAGCCTTGTACAATGTAAGGAGATTTCCAATTGGCATTTTTATTGCAATTATAAATATTAATTTATGTCTCTTGGAAGTGTATTTTTTATTTTACTGTAATCTTGGCTGTTTTAATAGAACTATAGTCTAGTGACATTCGATAATCGCTGACCAAATAGTCACCTCGCGCCCTGATTTTTTAAAAATAATTGCCCTTTCTCTATATTGAGGAAACGGCGGAAAAGTCATAATTTTCACCTATGTTAGTGGGTTGGCGGCTTTTTATATTATACTAGCTGATCCGGCAAACGTCATTTTGCCCTGTATATCATTTATAATAAAAAATAGGGGTTGATCGTAGAGGGGTGAAAATTAGGGGTTGTATGTATTTTTTAATGCTGTATCATAAAAAAATAAGAATAAAAAAATTATCTAAAAATCAAAGAAAAATAAATAAGGGGTGGATTATCCTTAACATTTAGGGGGATGAAAAATAGATGTTATCCGATTCTCAGACATACCCAATATGCACACAAAATTTCATGAGAATCGGTCAAGCCGTTTCGGAGGAGTTTAACTACAAACACCGCGACATGAGAATTTTATATATTAGATTATATCCCCAAGCAGGCGATTGGAAAGTTTGAAGTTCGTTTTGAAGTAATACTTCTTTTGGCGCAATAAAGAAAAATGATGAAATTTTTTACGATGCGCGCGCACATCTAAAAATTTCCATTTCATGTAAAAAACTTTATTTTACTAGATAATGCGTTATAATAAAAATACCTTTTTTCTATTGTTAGGGTCTGTTTCACAATGTATGGATAAAGTACCAAATAGTAGAGATGTTATGGATATGATATTTCGGATCTGGATACGGATATGGATATAGGAATAAAATTATATCGGTTTCGGATATGTAATTATTTCGGATTATCTGTTAGTTTCGGATAGTTTCGGTTACGGTTATTAGTTTGAAGTAAAATATAAACACAAATAGTATATTATATAGTTTTACATATAGGTTTTATCTAGTCTAGGTTATCAGTTGGTATTATAATCGGTCATAAAGGTAAGTAATTATTATAAACCTCCTCAGTTTTATCTATTAAAATAAAAGTGCAATAAATTTAATAGCTTTATAAAAACATTTAGCTTTATACATTGCACATATTAACTTATAACCTATGTATAACATATTAAATGTTTTCTTTTTAATTATTTTTGTGAGAAATGAAACCATTAACAAGAGCCTGTCGAAACATGTAGTTTTATCTAGACTTTGGACTCTGCCCTTATCCGAAACTATCCGAAAGTTGTGAAACGGATACGGTTAATGTTACGGATATATATTTTTTTTCGGATATCCGAGTATTTCGGTTACGGTTACGGAGCTCCATAACATCCCTACCAAATAGCTATGCAACACATAAATTATTTGGAAGATAAATTGTACTATTTGACATTCATCGGACTCATAACTTATGATGGATTTTGTGTGACGAATAGCGCTATCTGACAGTCGTGAAACGCAACAATTGTGTATATCCTATCAATAAGTAATAAATAGCTAATTTGGAACTTATCCGTACATTGTGAAACAGACCCTAAGTGTAGTTTTTTCTTCAAAACGCCAACTTTGTTACGCCAACGAAGTTTAACTTTAATGTAATTATTAACATGCAACCCTAAACTATAAATGAAACAACACATTATTTTAATATTATTTAATAAATAAAGCTTATGTATGTGCAAAACACAATTTTCGATTATAAAAATACAAACAAGGAAAATTTGTTTTACGTTCGCTACTTATTATAATAATTCTATTGTCAATAAACACTAATTTACACAAAACACATCTTATACATATGTATAATATTATATAAAATACTAATCTTACAAATAAACATATTTTTATTACTTTAAATTTGGAAATGCTAAGTCATAGATCATAGATTTATACGGTGTTAGTAAAATACTGGCTGAAAATATCGTTTAAAATAATTTAGGCTTTCCTGTGTAAAGTAAAGAATCGTGAAACCAAAACACAATCTTTTCTATATCACGCGGTTCTTTTTTCAAATATTTGTGACATTACGCAATCTGTCATCAACGACATTTGACGTGATTACGAAATATTAGACAGACTAAAGTGTCAAAAGTCAAAACAATTTAATGCGGATTTCTTAAAACAGATAACTTATACAGACTGTTAAAAATAAAATACATTTATTCAGTCAAAGTTATTTCTTGGGGTCCCTAAAGACTCCCATAAAGAGAACTGAGTTCGTGGGTTTCTCGTAGAGAATGTATACGAATGGGAAGTTGGCTATGAAGACGCTCGGCTCCGCGGGACGAGAGGAACGAAAACCGAACAACGCTGTTGCAGCAGCTGCTACCGTACCTGTAATTACATTTTAATTTTATAATCCTACAGCTAACACTATTATAACAATTATAGTTAAGATATAACCAAAGATGGAATACATACAAAAAGGTTCACACATTTACGAAAGGAACCAAAAAAGTTATTCAATACATTAAACTAATTACAGTGTAAATCTTTATAACGAATTTCAAGGGACCGAGCATGTTTTTTCGTTATACGAAGGGTAGGGAAAAAATCACCAAATTGGTTAATCACAATAATTTACACCTTTATATATATAATTCTTCTGTGCGTGTGTATGTGACTGAACTCCTCTCAAACGACTGGACCGATTTTGATGAAATGTTTTGTGTGTGTTCAAGGGGATCTGGGAATGGTTTAGATTCACAAATCAGCCCGGCAGATGGCACTGCAGTCGGTACTTTCATACTTTGCTTAATATCCTAATCGCTTTAAATATCATGCAGGACAACGTCTGTGGGGTCCACTAGTATATATATAATATAATAGATAGGTGGCAAAATTTCCTACACGCAATGTAATCTGTAAATGTAAGAATAATAGCACACGTGTTAATGCAATTCACAATAACATTTTGTAAGCTGATAATAAAAACAATTACACTTAAGTATGTTGTGGATGCCTAAATATGAAAATATTTCTTCGCTATAGAGACTAGCAGTTGCGTTATAAAGAGTATTTTAATGTATGGGTTTAGTGTTAAATCTAACAAATTCTCTCTCTCTATATAACGTAAAAGAGATTTACGTTATATAGAGTTTTTCGTTATAACGAATGGCGGTATAAAGAAATTATACTGTAATACCTAATTCTGTTGTGTTGTATGATGGTGTGTACGTGAGAGTGTAGGGGGTGTACTTACGATACAGGTGATCAGCTATGGATATTCTTAATACTTCTTTTAAGCGTTTAAAGCTTAAACAGACAATTTTAGGACAGCAAATGTTCAATGGTAGTAATTAATATGTTGGAAAGTTTTAATATATTTTTTTTTAATTTATCAGGCACACGATCAGGCAAATCTGTGGCCAAGAAGGTCAGCAGGAGGGGGTGACAAATCTCTTCCTAAAAAGGCTCAATTAGCTCAAAGACTTCTCCGGAAATCATGATATTTTTGGGCGAGTCGGGGCCCATTGGCTGGTGGAACTAAGTAATAATTAAAAGCATACCTTCTTCGTCGACTTGAATCTTGGCTTTATGCATGGCATCGTCGAAGTATATTCCATGGTCATCAGTGAGAGATGAAAAATCGGATGTTGCGTTGAAAAGATCGCCCGCGCCCAGACTTTGCAATATCTGTAATATTCATTATTTTATTACTATTAATATTATATATTTTTTGTAGTCCTACAGCTTACATAAATTACATATAACCAAAAACAATTATACTAAAGATATAGCCAAATATGGAATCAGCTAGCGCACTTTAAGATGTTATCATTGGAGAATCGTAGAATATGATTGATGTATCGTTTGCATTTAAAATATTTTACAATCACGTTTGTTGCCCCAACTGTATATCAAAATTTAAATTTCGTGTACACTCTAGATACCCCATTCATACCATCATCCCAGTTGTCCCACCGAAGTACGCATTTTGGTCTAAGCTCACCGATGTCCAACTCTGATAACGTCTGGACATCCATACTCAAACTCAAAATAACTTTATTGTATATAGGTATATATTATTGATAAAACCTTGCCAACACTCGGCACACTGATATTTTTTTTTTTTACAATTCACACCAATTGACCTAGTCCCGTGCTAAGCTGGTGAAGCTTGTGTTATGGGTACTAGGCAACGGATATACATACATATTATAGATAGATAGACATATAAATACATATTTAAACACCCAAGACCTAAGCACAACACCAAATGCTCAACACATCGATGTCCGTCTCAGCCGGGGATCCAACCCGGGACCCATGGATTCGCAGTCAGGGGTACTAACCACTAGACCAATGAGTCGTCAACATTGGTAAAAGAACCACAATACACAATGTTTAATGTGACAAGCACTTATAGGCGTAAATGTAAATTAAGAATGAATTTAACTTCTTTTCTGACGTTCATAAGTATTCTTGTTTACCTATATCAATTAAATCAATTGTAAATACTGTATTTGTGTAAATAAAAAGAAATACCTCGGTAAAAAAAAAAAAAAAATTATAAAATAACTAACTAATACCTAACTCGTTATTAAATTGTGTTTACACTGTGAAAGATAGGTTAGTTAAATGCAGACAGTTTTATAAATAAAAATATAACGTGAAATAGTTTGGTTATTCATTTAGGTAACGCAATGTACACTTATGAACGTCAATAAAGAAATACATATTAAATGCTTCTAATGCCGGCCATACACGCTACGGTCTACCGGAGAGGTCCACCTGTGCAGGTATGCCTGCGCAGGTAGACCGGAATGTGTGTGGGAATAGACCTGTGCAGGTTTTTGAACCTGCACAGGCGACCGGCGCAAGATCGAAAATCGATTCTTTCTAGTGACACCGTACGGTGTACCTGTGCGTGTGTGCGTGTACTCCGGTCGCCTGCGCAGGTTGTTAAGATAGTAGTCGGCAATGTATCTACATTTATTACTTATGTTTTAAGTTTGATTTGTTATTTAACTTTGTCTTCTTTTTGAAGTGAAACTTCTTTATCGGGGTTGGAAAAAAATTTGTGTATGGCCGGCATTATTTTACATTTACTGTCAATTGTCAAATCAAGGGCTTTTATAAAAGCAGTTGGCTACCTAAACCAAATAGAGGAATACTCACCGTACGAAGAGGCAAGCTCCTTTCAATTGTGAATTTGGGAATTTCCACCACCACCTCCCGTCCCATATAGCCTTCCTCCACAACTGCGGCTAGTCGTTCAGGTGTCAACTTCGCTATTATATTCGATACTCCTGTAAATAATATTTAATAGTTTAAAAAAAATATTAAATCTGGGCCTCAGATTTCTGTTCTGTTTCATGATCATGAAATTCTAAAATACCGCGCGAACAGCACGGTTACGTTCACACAGTGCCGCTAGATGGCGTAAAAAAAATATTAATTTTAATTATTAAATCTTCAGTTTCCTAAATACAAAAGTATACTAAATGTCATGGCTGAATTCACAAGAATTGCATTATTTATAAGTATTTAGTTATTAAAAGGTTTAGGTTTTAAGTTACTGTAAAAATAGGAAATAAGGAAAAAGGGGGCCTCATAGCCTAGCGGTATTATTAAGTGGCAGCTTGGTGAGGGGTACCGGGTTCGATTCCCGGTTCGAGGGCAAATTTTAATTTAATTTAAATTTGTTATCGGCGTTTGGGAGGGTTGTGCGGTACCGGGCGAGTGCCTAAACCGTACATGGAGGACATGATCGAATTTCTAAGGCAAAAAGCACGAATTTTAAAAATCTTATACTTGACGCTGGCTAATGCACAAACCGTGCCAGAGCCATATAAAAAAAAAAAAATTTTTTTTTTTTCAAAAATTGTATGTAGTTTTTTGTAAGAAATGTGATGACCCGTTGTCAGTGAGGTTATACATACACAGATAAATAATATGTGTGTATAATAACAGTTTCAGAGCAATGTTAGCCAAGTGGTTTCAGCGTGCTACTCTAATCTCTAATTCGTAGGTTCGATCCACTGTACACCAACGGTTTTTGCGCATTTAATATCTGCTCGTACACAGGAAAACATCGTGAGGAAACCGGCTTGCCTTAGACCCAAAAGTCGACGTGTGTCAGGCACAGGGGGCTGACACTTGCCTATTAGATTGACAAATGATCATGAAACAGATACACAAATCTGAAAACCTAAAAAGGTTGTAGTGCAACTGATTTTTGGTAAATACTAACATTTTAATATCAACAAGGTTTATAGTATTGTCTTTTATTGACATAACTTTCACACATTTTATAATAAAACAATGATCACGCACGCTGTAAAGCACGCGAAACGTCGGTTAAATTTAAAATTATGAAAAATAATTGTAAATACATAACTTCAATCCGGTAAAAAATTGTTTTATTATCAACAAGGTTTGTTTGGCAGTTGATTTGGTCATAAGATCAAATCATTGGAAAAGTTTCAAAGTCCACTTCACCATTTGCAATCTACCGAATCTATCAGATCCCAGTGGAGATCCCAAAGAAATACAGGTCATATTTCTTTAGGGTCTCTAGTGACAAGAAGACCTTCCTGCCCCACTGACCTACTGCCCTGGTAACGAACCCACTAACATGGTGTCCATGGGTGGGGGAACCATGAGTTTGTCCCGAAGGAATATTTAAGAAACAAATTTAATAAATGGCGAATCATAAAAAAAAAGAATGCCTAGCGGCATCATGGCTCGTGGCACTACCGCTAGGCACTAACATTGCCAGAGGGCTCGCAAGTGTGTTGCAGGCCTTTAAGAATTGGTACTTATAGAACAGGGGACAAACGGGCAGGAGGCTCGCCTGATATTATGTGATACCGCTCATGGATACTCATTCGCGATATTTTGTTTTGAATTGATTTTTTACATTCTTTGCTCACCTTCCTTCATGGAGTACGGCGGGAGAAGAATATACATGCTGATGTCATTGCCCTTGTATGGAAGTTCCAGGATTTGTGCTCCAAGGTCATCGTTTACCACTGAAAAGCAATTTAATTTGTCATGAATACGCCTGGCTAACAAGCGATCTCTTCCAGGCGAACGAAGAAGAAATACTAAGTTCAGTGCAAAAATTGCTTTTTTTCTAAAGAACTGGGGGCAAACGGGCTGGATCCCTGATGTTAAGTGATAACATAACACTGTCACTTTTAATGCCTGAGGGCTCGCGAGTGCGTTGCCGGCCTTTTAAAAATTCGGTTTCGGGTACCTTTAAAGGTTCGGAAATACTTAAGTGGGCAGCTGGTTCCACATAGTGTTAGTGCGCGGAAAAACTGCCTTTAAAAACGCTCAGTTGTCGGACAAACGTCGAGGTGATACGGGTGGAATTTTTTCTTCTGTCAAGTGTCACATTTATTGAAGTTATACTTCTTTAGGCGCGTTATGAAAAATTGATGAGAGTGAAATTTTACGATGCGCGCGCACCGTGACCCAAAATTAACAGAATGAAGTTGCCCACGGTAGATGCTACGGCATTGGACATAATTTAAAATCAACATTCGAATAATAATAGAATTTATGTTACACTTAATGTGAGTGAATAATAATAAATATTTATTTATTTAATTTTTCAAATGTTAACTGAACTTTATTGACTATAATGACTCCTTTTCCAGTCTTTGATTATTTAATTGTTTGCATGCAATCAAAAACTATTTTTAATAATGCCAAAGAAATAAGTTTATATAAGTTTTAAGTATATGTGTAATGTATACTAGTGTCTACATTCAGTCAGTTAGTGTCTAGTGTAGTTCTAGACACTAGTATGCATTGTTTTGTTAAGACTAACTAATAAGTTAGTTATAATGACTTCAAATTATTCCCCTTATAATGGTTAATTTTTATTTACTGGTATGTAGCACTGTACATCCCACTCACAACCACCACCGAACATGACTCCAGCAAAAAAATCTTTATTTTCATTTAAAAGCTTGTCAAAAACTTACTGTAATGAAATATTCCCTTCTGTCTCATAAAAGGCCACAAGGTCTGTCGGGTTTCAGACACAAAAAACACCTGCTTCTTCGTTCTTTCGACCAGGAACTTGGACGCCCACACGCCTTTGAAATACGCTGCATTTGCCAGCACCAGCTTGGTGGCTTCGGATATACCGTCAGCGGGTATTAGATCCTTGATATTATTCTTTGTAACGCGTTCTACCCAGCTGTTGATGGTTTCCCGAGCTGCGACTGGGTTCTCATGGAAGTTCTGAAATTCGAACCATGAAGCTTTTATTTCCCAAATATTGCGACAGTTTGATATATATTTAGTGATGCCCAAGCACTAGGCCAGCGTGGACATCCCTGATGAAGCTAGAGGCTGTGCACCAATGGACTTTTTATATGTGCATCTAAACTCGCTTGTACGGTGAAGGAGAACATTGTGTAACCGGCATTAAAACCAAAAATCTACGTGTGTCAGACATAATGGGCCGAGTCTTAAGGCCCTATCCCAGCACGAATTGCTGTGTCAGTGTCTCGGGGTGGACGAAGAGCGCCGCGCGCCAGCCCGTAATAACAATTAGTTGTGTAAAACATTCAATTAATGTAATTTTATCATTTTTTTTTTTCTGAAATGGATTAATATGGCTTGCGATAAAATATATCGTGTAAATTTCAAAATTATGTTCTGTATACATTTTCGTCATAAAATGAATTCAAAGTGTTAAAAATTGGCTATGTTTGGATTCTTTTTCTATCGAGCGAAGTTATTTAAATCGTGTATCGGTCTTTTAAAATGGATACATAAACTACTCAACTCTACCATATATTTTTTCCATTCGCCCTACTTCAAGAAACGATGACGAAAAATGGAAAGAAACAATATACTTTTTTGGAGTTTGGCGACCGGATAGGCCCTAAGCCGCGTTTCCATTATGCAAGTACTTGCATGCATGTGTGACGTCACAGTGTGCAAGTGACTTGAATTGGAAACACGAGTTTGTTCAACTTGCAGCTTGCATACAGTTAGTTCTCCTAGTTGGACAGTGTTTATCATGGTAGAAGACGTGCTGTAGTATATATTAAAATAAAATCTAATATATAAAATTCTCGTGTCGCGGTGTTTGTAGTTAAACTCCTCCGAAACGGCTAGACCGATTCTCATGAAATTTTGTGTGCATATTGGGTATGTCTGAGAATCGAACATCTATTTTTCATCCCCCTAAATGTTAAGGGTAGTCCACCCTAAAAAATTACACAGGCCCTAATCAAAGCCTGGTAGATAGAGCCAGTGACCCCAGAGCTGGTGCTTTGTTTGCTCAACGAATTAGTATTGCAATACAGCGAGGTGCTGCCAGCGTTAAAGGTGCCACAGAGATCAACATTTTTTAATTTTATTTTTTAATTAATTGTTTACTGACGTTTATAAGTTATCTATAAATATATTACATTTTGATTCATTGAGCAAGTAGTTGATTGGGGTCAGACGTCTTAGATTCGGTGTCAGCTGTTTTCTTATGAACATCATAAGAAAACAGGTACAACTTTCACATTATAGAAGTATTGATTGATGAAAAAACTTTTTAACCGGATTAAAGTTATGTATTATTATAAATTCATATATTATTATTAATTTATAATAATATATAACAATTATTATTTATTTATTATTAATTGCTTTACCGTGACCACGCACGCTGTAAAGCACTCGAAACGTCAGCAAAATTTAAAATTGTTAAATAATTGTAAATTTTTAATAATACATAAAATCCGGTTAAAAAGTTTTTTCTTTAAATGTGTAAAGGTTATGTCAATCAAAGACAATAGTATTGATTGATGTTCCACCGTAGTTTGGTTGACTAATAATAATTATCCAGTGGCGCAACTACCTTAAATTTGTGTTTGCCTGTAGCATTGATTATTTTTATTTCATAGGCAAGTATCTGATCTATGTGACAGAGACAACGGTTTCCTCACGATGCTTTCCTTCACTAGCGAGTTTTAGATACACAGAATAGACAATTGCAAGTGATTCGAGTGATACTTGACTTAAAATGATTGATTTGTAGAAATTACGAAAATAGAGGTGTATCTTTAAGGACCGAGAATCGGCCTCTCCTCTTGGTATATTCACTTTGGTAAGCGTCTTAAAAAAGGTGGATAGAAGAATTAGAAGCGGTAGCAGGAAACGAATGGAGAAAGAGAGCCATAGACAGAGTCAGTTGGAAAAATCTGGAGGAGGCCTTTACGCGAGAAGGGGTTCCGTTCGACGGTACTAAAGGATAAAAAATAAATCAGTGGCACTACATCCTCTTTAGGTCTAGGCTTCAGATTTCTGAATCTGTTTCATAATCATTTTCCAATCTAATAAGCAAGTAGGTGATCAGCCTCCAGTGCTTGACACACGCCGGCGACTTTTTGGGTCTAAGACAGGTCGGCTTCCTCACGATGTTTTCATTCACCGAATGTTAAATGCGCACATAGAAACAAAGTCCATTGGTGCACAGCCGGGGATCGAACCTACGACCTCAGGTATGAGAGTCGCACGCTAAAGCCACAAGGCCAAAACTGCTCAGAATATATAGGATAACAAGATATAAATAATGTAAAAAATCTAAGCTGTATATTTACACTTTTTTGTCATGATTTGGAAAATAAAGGGCTTTATTATTATTATAAGCGAAAACACTGTAGCTTACATACTAAGGGTATGTTCCGATATACACTGCGACCACTGTACAGAGTACTGTCAATTTAGTATACTGTGAAACCGTTTCTCTATAGCCAGCTATACTGGTTACAATTTAAAACGGAACGCAGTCCAGTATACTAGTCAGCTTCGTTTTTCGACACAATTTTCAAATGAGTGCATCAAAGTTTTTCAATTCAACAAGAAAAACTATTATTGGAGTATTATCGCATTAAAAAAATATATATTAATATTAAATGTCAATTGAATTAATACTACAAAGAAAGTAAGTTAGAATTTTAAATGTTTGTTATTAAACTGTAAGTTATATCAGCCGTTAGGCATTCAAGTGGTTTTGATTGATCACGTGATCAAAGCACTGCGAGTACCTTACCTCGAAAACGCCAGTGCTCGCAGTAGAAGTATAGCGGGGATTTGTGACGTCATATATTTCCCTAGGACGCTGCGGCTGTATACTGACGTCCATAGCGGAACGAATTTTTGAACAGTGGGAGCACTATACAGTACTCGCAGTGTATATCGGAACATACCCAAGTGACTGTACAGTATAAATTTAAAATTAGAACGACTCCAAAACACTTTGCAATCATTAAAATAATGAAATACTTTACCAACGCCTGCAATTCATCCAAAAGTAGGTCGCGCACACATTGTCTGACGTTCAGGCCGCTGTCCACAAACATCCTGTTTGCATTCGTGAACTCGTAACTGTCGCTGTTATTGTTCATCTCTCGTGACCTTTTGTCCACTCTGTATGCTGTCAGCAGGTTCACCTTGTCCTGGAAATGAGGTGTACATTACAGATTGGGCCCAAGGATACGGTTAGGAGGCCCGGTTAACCCAGGTTAACTAGCTGCTGTGGTCTCTAGCAGAATGATCAGCGCTGTGGATTCTGCTCCTCGGCATAATGCTGAGCCAGGGCCAATTACAGCCACAGCACACACGCATAACACACTTAAAACTAACCGAAAGGGAAAAAAACTTCATGATATTTTTTTTTTCTTTGATTATTGTTTTTATTTGTGTGTTGTTAGCAATAAATGTTATGTCTATCTTCTATATTTCAAAATGCATTGTTTGGTAATTAATCTAATAAAACTATGTTAATTATATTTACTTATAAATAATTTAGTTTCCTTATCATAAGTTGGGTCTAACGAAGTGTCAATTAAAAGATGGCGTCATCTAATTAAATAAATTGTTCGTCATTTGAGATTTCAATAAATTATTTTTCATTAAATATAAAATACTAATATTTCATAAATTCTCTTTACGAAACTTTAATTTTAAAAATATAATTTCTATAAGGTAATTCGCCCTTCTCACTCACTCTCAATCGGTCTCTATCGCTCTCTCCCTTTTCTTAGACAAAAACGCTGCACATCTTCGTGACGTTTCATCCGTAAACATTTTACCCTCAGGCGCCTAAAGAAGTTTCACTTCAAAAATACATTGAAACATGAATATTCGTAAAAAGAGGCGCTCATAGGTTTCACACAGGCACTGCCGGTGGTCGGCGCGGCCCTGATTGTTTAGGTGATAACCAGAATTGTATGATAAAAATAACGAATATATTTAACTCCTATAGCCTGCTCAAGTCTTGCAGTGCAACCCAAATATTCTTCAAAAACTCGGTTTCTTTGTGCCTATATGTGGGACCAGCCAAGGCCAAGATTTGCGATACCAAGACTCAGAATCTATTGCACAGATCCCCGTTAGCAAAGACGTTGCTGCTGCTGTCTCCACTATCGACATCATTATATGTTCGCAGAGTTCACAGTAGCGATATTGTGTATCTTATGTATTTATTATTTGATTGGCTAAGTACTGTAGTGTATGTTTATGTGAATAAATAAATATTATGCCATCATTACTCATGTCTCCATTAACCAAAGGATGCAGGCCATTACAGTAATTTTTATAGCACCAAACAATTTTATATAAATTGCATGTAAATGCGTTATAATATATGACAATTTTACTTTAGATTTATTGGAATTTCAGTCATATGTTTGCACTATTCTTAAAGCCAAGGTGCCTTTTTACGTGGGAGAGTATTTGACAAAGACTATAAGTTTTGACAACAATTATAAATAACTTGACTTATTATTATGATTATATGGCTAATTGTGCGGTTTTTATAAAGAACCAATCTGAATGTACCACTTTCTTTGCAAATAAACGATTTATTTTTATTAATTTCATTAAGAATCCGTGTGCGACAATATATTCGCAACTGTTCCATGTGCGTCCACGAGTTATCTAACATAACATAACATAACATTTATTACAAACAAAAAACACACACATAAACACACAAAATAACAATACTTAAAGAAAACATAAAATAAAATAGAATAAAATTAAAAATTCAAATTAAGAAATTTTCTTTTGCCATTCGGTTCGCTTCAAGTGTGCAATGTGTGTGTACTGTGGTTGCAATTGGCCCTGGCTCAGAATTATGCTGAGGAGCAAAAAGTTCCACAGCGCTGGTCATTCTGCCAGAGACCACAGCATTTAGTTTGCGCCTCTAATAAAATAAAATAAATAATTATAATACCAAGTAGAAAAATAATAATAATAATATTAGAGTTAGAAGTGTGAGTAAATTGTGTGTAACGGTGTATAATAAATAGAATTAAATTAAAAGTTAAAAATAAGAATAAACGTAAATAAGTAGATATTCGTTTGTTTTATAGGTGGATAAAAACTACATTTCGTGGGACTTTTGTTGAATAAGTAGAAGTGTCTTATAAGCGCGACTAAAAGTCGACTTTAATTGAAGACACTTCAGCGGAGGAGGGATATCGTTCCAGCACTTCGCCGCGCTATATTTAAAACTCCCACGAAATGAAGCCGTCCGATGCGTAATTTGCTAATTTATCGAGTTACAAGTACAATCAAATTTATAAAGATGTTGATTTTCCACCTTACCAAAGAGGGTTTGAGGAAATATTATTATGATTATAATTTATTTTTCTTTGACTTTATTTGGCACTACTAACAATTCCGTTTTCTTTAAAATATTTAGTTTAATTATTTTAATCTATAAATAATATGTTGTTTGGGAATCTGTTTTGACTTTATATATTATCTAAGTGTTTTCATGTATATGTGGCCAGAAATGTACTCATTTTAACGTATTAATATAATCTGTAACCGCCAGAAACATCAGTGTAAAACTGTGAGAAGAAAATATTAAGTAAATGTATTTTTTTAATATACATTTACACTGTATATATATAATTTGGTTTATTCATCACAGTTTGTCTTGAAATTGTATTCGTTTTTACAAGAAACTCCCAAGCGAAATTAGAGAATTATTAGTATTATAAATAAAAAAACTCTCTTTAAACGTATATTAATCAAAAAGATTTTTATAAATTTTACGATTATTTAAATGATCCTAATCCTTGGGATTGATTTAGTCAAACAATGTGTATGGCTAAAAAATTGGTGATTAGAGTGGCGAAGAGTTTCTTGCCAGTTCTTGCCTTTACGCCCTTGAATTGCGAACTGGTAGTGTAAATTTAGAATCAATTTATCCTTCCTGTTGACGTTCAAAATTGTACTTGTTTTCCTATATGAATAAAGTAATTTTGAGTATACTCAGTAAATTAATTCTTACCATAGAGTCTGAGATCTTCAACGCCTGCTTCAGATTCTGTTCTGTCCGTCCGCCGGCAGCAATATACCCCAATAGCAACGCGTGGTACACGGAGAATGGTGAGAAAAATATATTATCTTCCGGCACAGCTTTGTTTATGGAATTAAAGAGGTCCAATGTGAAGTGCAGCTGGCCCTTATATAAATCTATTCGGGATTCTGGATTCGCCTTAGACACATCCTTGTCCAAGCACTGGCCGTGTACCGACGCTATGGCTGCGATGAAGAGCGTTAATTTCAGCATCTTTTATCTGTAAATAAACGATTTGTGTTATGGAGGCTAAAAATAGAAACAGAAGAAGGCCCAGCACGAATTGCTGTGTCAGTGTCTTGGGATGGGCGGGATGAGGCGCGCCGCGCCGGCCCGTAATAACAATTAGTTATGTAAAACATTAATTTAATGTTTTTTATCATTTTTTTTTTCTGAAATGGATTACTTGGCTTGCGATAAAAATCGTGTAAATTTCAAAATCATGTTCTATATACATTTTCGTCATAAAATGAATTCAAAGTGTCATAAATTGGCTGTGTTTGGATTTTTTTCTATCGAGCGAAGTTATTTAAATCGTGTATCTTTCAAAATGGATACATAAACTACTCAACTCCACCATATATTTTTTCCATTCGCCTACTTACGTACTTCAAGAAACGATGACGAAAAATGGAAAGAAACAATGTCCTTTTTTGGAGTTTGGCGACTAGATAGAGGACCTATCTAGTCGCTAGTAACGATTTAGGATGGCGTCTGGTAGTCCCGGTGACCCCAGAGCTGGTGCTTCCCTGAACGAACAAGTATCGCAATACAGCAAGGAAATGCTGACAGTACACTGCCACAGGGACCGTTGAAAGAAATTTTGGTCCCTGTATCGCGATACTTATTCGTTGAGGAAAGCACCAGCTCCAGGGTCCCCGGTACTATCTACCAGGCGCTAAATCTTTGAATAGCTATGCACTTGAACAGTTTTCAAAAATATCCTTACTTGCCCAATGGACCGAAAAAGGAGAAGACGCTCACCAGAAACCTGGGAAGATGATATAAAAGAGATAGGGAGGAAGATTACCAATTATTTAAAGGCCGGCAACGCACTCGCGAGCCCTCTGGCATTGAGAGTCCATGGGCGGTATCACTTAACATCAGATGAGCCTCCTGCCCGTTTGCCCCCTGTTCTATACTATGTACGTATTTACACGCGTCAGAAGTTATACTTCTTTGGCGTAACAAGATAAAAATCTTTTCAAAAATTTTATTCTACTTTTTTAGAAAAAACTACACTAACAATAGAAAAAAGGTATATAATACGTTGAATGTTTTATTATAACGCATTATCTAGTTAAATAAAGTTCTACATAATTAAAGAATTGGACATTATTTATTTTAAACCAACTTCAGGGTGTCGGTTTTTAGTGACGGTGTGCGCGCGCATCGTAAAAATTGACTCTCATAATTTTTCCCTAACGCGCCAAAAGAAGTATAAAAAGTGTAATACGGAGCAGGCCTCCTACAGACTCCTATTAATTATTTATTTTTAAATGATAGTACTCGAATTAATGCCATTTTTATTTTATATTGTTATGCCTACGTAATAAACGCATTGTAAATAAAACTTCAAGGATTTGTCACGTTCGACCTTGGGGAAACCCAGTTTATTTCATTCAACACACAATGATATTATTTTATATGGTAAGTAAACGAGTATACTAATAATAATAATATTAATTTTAAAAATGCGACGGCTCATTGGTTTAGTGGTTAGTGCCCCTGACTGCGAATCCATGAGTCCCGGGTTCGATCCCTGGCTGAGACAAACATCGATGTGATGAGCATTTGGTGTTGTGCTTAGGTCTTGGGTGTTTAAATATGTATTTATATATCTATCTATCTATAATATGTATATATATCCGTTGCCTAGTACCCATAACACAAGCTTCACCAGCTTAGCATGGGACTAGGTCAATTGGTGTGAATTGTCCAATAATTAAAAAAAAAAAAAGCCTTTATTGCTGTAATTACTTATACTAGTACATAAAAATGTGAAATACAAAAAAACTCTAAAAATAAAAACGAATTGATCGGCAAGCCGGTTGATTTCTGTTATACAGCTTGTCCTTGGACATGGGCCTCCTCTAAGGGCTTCCACTCTGCTCTGTTTCTAGCTTTACGTTGCCACATAGGGCCAGCTGCCCTTCGCACATCTTCTTCCCATCTTTTTATTTGTCTTCCTCGTTTTCTTTTGCGAGGAAGCCATTCCGTCACTTTCTTCGTCCATTTATCTTTATCTTCTCTCATAAGTAACAGCATTTCTAAACGAGTACTTTATTATTATTAATCTCCATGAACTCGGTTTCTTTGTGGGGGATATGTGCGACGGCGTAGGCCAAGGTTTGCGATACCAAGAGACAGAATCTGTTTCAAAGCCCATCCACACGCTTGACAAACAATGGCAAACAGCTAACAGCAAACAGCAAACACGGACGTGTGGATGGGTGTTTGTCGTTGTTTGCCTGTTTGTGTTCGTGTTGGGCAGTGTTCGGCATCGGTGTCGGTTTATCTTGCCAGATCAAAGGATGTTTGGCAAACAGTTTGCTACGTATCCACACGTTTGGCAGCGATCAGTATGCGCGCGAGCTCGCGGGAGGCGGACGTATTTACTTGCTACACTTTCGTTGGCGCGCAACATTTCCCTACTGAATGCTCTCTCCACTACCGACATCTTTATACGATGACAGTGACTTCACAGTAGCGATATTGTCTGGTTCCACATAATGGTGGTGCGCGGCAAAAACTGCCTTAAAAACTGTCAGTTGTGAAACGACGGACGTCGTTGTTGGAATTTCGTATTCTGCCTCGACGTCCGATGTCTCATGTGCATTGTATATTTTATACTATATAATATATAGTATAAAATATTATACTTAAAACAAATAAAATATTAAGTACAGGGGTCTAGGCTCAGAATATGATTTTGTCCCATTCGGTGTCGAGACCCTTGGTCCGTGGGGTCCTAGCGCTTTAAGGCTTTTTAAAGAAATTTCAAAAGGTTAGTCGACATCACAGGAGACCGAAGATCTGGCAGCTACCTCGGACAAAGAATTAGTCCAGCAATTCAAAGGGGGAACGCTGCCAGTATCTTCGGAACCTTGCCTAAAGGGACTCCTTTTAATGATATATTTTAGTTTATGTTAAGTTTAGTTATTTATTTCAATGTATATTATTTTATTATTATATAAGTGATATTTTAAAGTAGCATTTGAACCTGTATCTAATATATTATCTTAAAGGATGATTATTTCTTACATATCATGTAAAAGTTATTTATTTTAAAAAAAAGTAAAGTGTTATACTATATAATATATATTCATAAGTATCTGATTGTCTTCCTTTTAATATGTGTGACGTTGAGAGTATAAAATAAAATAAAATAAACGTATAGGACATGTTTATTTATTGCTATAATACAGTACACATTAAGTACAGTGTCATGTTGCTGTTTGCTGAGGTCAAACCGAGAAACTCAGTGTCAAAACGGTAAAATAAATTGTTTATGGAATTTCCTAGTACACGCTTCAGCCTTCTCGTGAGCGTGAATAATGACAACCTTCGGCGGGGTAATTCCAAGTAAAGGTTTTGAAGTCAGCGTGAAATTTGACCTCAAAAACGGACATTTTTAATTGTGTTTTACTTCAGTGAGATGAGCATTGTCAGCGTGCGACTCTTGGGGTCGTAAGTTCGATCCCCGGCTGTGCACCAATGGACTTTCTTTCTATGTGCGCATTTAACATTCGCTCGAACGGTGAAGGAAAACATCGTGAGGAAACCGACATATCTTAAACCGAAAACGTCGACGGCGTGTGTCAGGCACTGGAGGCTGATCACCTACTTGCTTTAGATTTAAAAAGGATCATGAAACAGGTTCAGAAATCTGAGGAACCTAAAGAAGTTGTAGCGCCACTGATTTTTTTTTACTTCAGTACAACACTTTTTTTTATAACAGGAGGCCGCCCATGGACATGGAATTGGTACGCTCTTGAAGGACCACCCTTAGTCGAATTGGTTCGGAAATATCAGTGGGCAGCTGGTCATATAGTGATGGCAAAAACTGCCTTAAAAACGCCTTGTCGGAACAGACGTTGAGGTGATACAGATGGAACTTCGTATTATGCCTCGACATCCGATGATGAAACTCAGCTACAGGTAATCCGAATTACTTATGTATTCATTTCTAGTGTACGGTTTGAAAACCGGATGCAGAAAGCCTAGTATCAAGTGCGGGCATTTTAAGACTTGGTACGCTGTTTCACTGAAGTCGAAATTCAGAAGGGTTCGCTTTCGATGGAATTATAGTTTGGGGAAATTTTGTCGAAGTAAATAGAGTATTTAAGGCTCAAAATAAATATATTAGGGCAATTTGTGGAGCAAAGTGTCTTGATAGTTGCTTACCTTTATTTAAGAAGCTCAAAATTGTACCTCTTCCATGTATTTATATTTTAGAAATATCCTTATTCGTCCACAGAAACATACATATTTTTAAGTCGAATGTAAAAGTCGAAGTAAGAAGTAGAAATGGGGAGAAATGTGCCAAAAATCAATATGGAACTGTTTCGGAAAAGCTTTTGTATGGCAATTAAAGTTTACAATAAATTACCAAGAGAATTAAAAGATCTTCCGACTAGTCTTTAAAAATCGACTTGGTGTATTACTTCTGGAAAAAATGTATTATTCAATAAATGATTATTTGCGTGAGACACTGTAATTGATATAAATTTAATAAAGTATGACAATACAGATAATAGGTATAAGATTTGACTTTGACTAATAATATGTAAAATTCCTTAAGACAAATTTGCGCGCCATTGTGTGTGGCAGAATATGCGAACTTACGATTGTACCATAACCTTACACATTTTTGTACCATATTCTTGCAATAAATAAATAATAATTATTATTATAAAGATGATTAAATTTTTAAAGGTAAAGTGCCTTTAATGGGTTGAGTATTTAGACCATAAGTTTTAATAACAATTATAAATAACTGTTCTTATTACTATGACATTATGATTAATATGCCATTTGCATATTATAAGGCTGACTGTGCGTTTTTTTATAATTAATCAATATGAATGCAATTTCTTTGCAAATAAACGATTTATCGTCGCTGTAGAATGATAGCCTCGTATGTCCAGAGAACCAAACATTACAGGAAACGAAAAATGTTTAATTTCGTAAATTTTCGTTAAAATATTATT